AGAACCCCAAAATACCGAAAATTTGGGGGTACCCTTATATGGGAGCTATGCCTAAACGTGGACCGATATATCCCATCTTCGAACTTGACTTGCCTGCAGACAAAAGACAACGCTATGCAACATTTCAGCACCCTGTCTCAATTCCTTCAGAAGATAGCGTGATCACAACAGACGGACGGACATGGCTAGATCGTCTTAGAATTTTACCCTGATCAAGAATATATATACTTTATAGGGTCGGAAATGAATATTTCGATGTGTTACAAACGGAATGACAAAATTAAATTACCCTCCATACTATGGTGGAGGGTATTTTTGGTATTTTTTAGTATCAACCTTGCTTTCCAAAATACTCCAGACACAATTGTCCAACGGATTGGCATACGTAGATTTTTGTGGTCATTGTGTGCTGGAAATGAAGCGAGGAACCTCACTTTGTAACCATTCTTGAGTGGCGCGTGCTGAGAGCGATGGCGCTGAGTTCTGTTGGTATGTCCAAGGTCTGCGGTCAAAATGTTCAATATTTATTCTGATGCCATAGTCGATAAATATGAGCGGAGAGCGACCATCGGTTGTTATGGTGGCCCACACCATCACCATGACCGGCGCTTGAGTTCTAGTGGCCAACCGAAGTAGTTGCAGTTTTTTTCATCTCACCCTGTATATATATTGATAAAGTTCAGCAATAACCTATCTGAGAATCGGGAATGCCAAATTACAGTCACTTGGGTTGGAACATGAGTCAATGACCAATACTGAAAAATTTCATCAATGTTTTTAAGCCTAGAATGCCAAATTAGGGTTTATTCAATTTTATATGATTAAAAATGTGACCCATCGAAGTTTCATTTTATGTCCCGATAAATTTTAAAATAAATTGAGTTACAAAAACTATATCAAACTAAACATACACTCCATGCCATTTTAGAGGATGTCTCTATGTTTAAAATCTCATCTTATATTTCAATTTTTGTTGTTTTTTTCTCTCTTTGTTTTTCTAATGAAGTTGAAAATTGTGCAAACAAAAAAATCTGTCTTTTTTACTTTGCAAACTTTATCGGTCGTTTGGTGTCACCTATCCACCCACACACAAACAACAGTTATTGTTTACATTCCAAATTATTTAAATTACAAATCGTTTTTCGAATAACATCGCTCGCCAAATACAAAACAACAGATTTGGAAACAAACAAAACAATTGATTTAAATCGCAACAAACTGTTAATTTGTTGAACATTTATTTCCACCACACTACCACCTCTGTTTGTTGTTTTTCTGGTGTTGAAATTTAAAATGGATAAATAATTATCAGCTGCACAAAAAGAAACGCAAATTAAAGCATATTTTTAGGCGTTCAATTAATATGAATTTAAAAATGTTTTCTGACGCATTTGCATTTAGAGAAATTGAACACAATGAAAACGTTGGTGATTTTTATATCTTCTACAATAGTATGAAAGGTATAATAAGTTCGTTTTCCATTCGTAACTCATCGAAATAATCATTACGGACCCTATATATTCTGGATCTCTGTCGATGTAGACATGTCCGTCTATGACAGTTGAAAACACTCTAGCCTCTATACGATTTTGAGATAGATGGCCAAAATTTTCATAGAATTACTTTTTGTATGCAAGCAAGTCATGTTCTAAATTATGGTAAATCGGTCCATCTTTAGGCATACCCCCCCATATTACAGTACCCTCGTTGGTATTATGTTGGTATGTTGGCCACGTTTTTTTTGCCGAATTGCTTTGATATTTTTGATTCTCAGTGGGTACAAAATCTCTCTACCATAAATTCAGCAGCAGCCGGTTTCTTATGCCGGATTGACTCGGAAAACATTATGATAAAAGGACTGCCTACCCAGGAAATACAGTCTTGTGTATTCTTTCCACGTAGGATCGACATTACCCGAAATGCTTGCTTAAGACGCATCCATCTTAGGCTAATATCGGTCAATAATTGCTTAAGCAATTAGGTGATCCTACAGGGCGATGCCGCTATTGAAGACAGGCAAGGATACGTTCAGACCAATTTCGCTTCAGCCCCCCGTAGAAAACATGCTTGAGTTACTACTCCTGCATCTGAAGTAGTAGGGAAGTATGCCGTGCTATAGAACAGTTTGGGTAGCTTTTGACTTATTGAAAGGCTTCGATACTGTCAATCACGCAAAGCTTTTCCTGGACATAGAGAATACCATCTCCCGGCCTAGCTTGAAATGTTAGATAATCAATTATATGTGTGGTTGTCATTCAGATGTGGAATTCAGAAACAAGAAGTCTTAAAACCCGTAGTGTGAAAAAGGGAAGATCCATTTTCCTTCCATCCCATTTTCGACAAGATGAGAGGTAGGATGAAGGTCTTCAAGTCGCTTGCCGAGAGCTCTTAGGGTGCTGATAAAGAAACCTTGTTAGGCGATCCTGAGGATGAATTCAAACCTGTCAGAAGGCCGTCCTGAGAACTGCGACAGGAACAATTTACATGATGATATGAAGGTCGTATCCCTATATCGACACAACAGGATGATGCCGATGCAGTACAAGGTCCTCAAGTCACTTGCAGCTTTGTTTACCTCCTACAAAGCAATAGGTCGTTCGATGGTAAGATAAGCGGCGCCGGTGTGCTCATGTAAGCAATACGCAGTGGACGAATTTTCAAGCCTGTCAAAATGCCACTTAAATGGTCTACTGGTACCATAAAAGTGGCATTTTGACATCATTATCACCATCATCCATGCCATCACCTCATGGATAGGATTCCCCCACCCCCATTCCCTAGATCAACAGGCTGGATCTACTTTCTACTTTCACTCGAAAGTAGTGACCCTGGACGAATAACACGTGATTGCAGTATTTGACCATTAAGACGAAACGGTGACATAATCCCTCCATGCGGTGTCCCCAGCCCTATGTTGTCTCTGATAGTTAGGTCGTGTAGTATACCATTTATTCCTTAACATATGGCTGAATCAGTCTAGGACTTGTCAACTCAAAAGCTTTCTAAGGACGGGATAAGCGTTTCATTGCCGACATTGGTGAGAGCTCTCTCAAAGTCAATGCATATATATTTTAGCGTACCTATTTCGTGGTGTCGACTGTCCATTGTTCCATTGTTTTGTATGCTGAAGACTTCGAACATGCGTTCTGTCGTGAAATCGCAGCCCCAACCTCTTGTCTTTTTTAATCAAGGAATGCCTATTTTCCTCAGCAGCTTGGGTTTCATTGTCTGATTTTGTCAGTTGTCCAGATCGATAGGGTCCATTTCATGCAGCAGGTATTCAAAGAACCTTCCAATGATCGCACGTATCACCTCCTTATGGGTCTATTTTCTTATTTTGCCGGACGCACCATTTTCATCGATCACTACATAGCAGACCTCCTTTCTGTAGCGCCTCATGGCAACTTTTACGCCGGCTCCCTACCAATTGTTGTAGCCCCTTCCTATGCTATTCGCAATTGTTTCTCCGTTTCATCTTGGTCAGTTTCCGCCATTATGCTTCGGATGGCTGATTTTTCCTTGTCGTGAGCTTAGTACTGTCGTTTGTCGTATTCTCGTGTACAGACTCGGAATTTGAGTCCCCGCCCGCCTCGGAAGGCTAGGCCAAGATTACTCTTCCCCTGTGGTTTGAAACTGGCATTCATTTTTGTTTGTTGGCTGCTTGCTTGTAACAATACCCTCGACTACAGATGCTGAGATACCCACATCAGTAACAGTAACATAAGCTGAATGTTCGCGTTACGCGTTTTTTATACCCTTCACCACACTGTGGTACAGGGTATTATGTCTTTGTGCATATGTTTGTAACAGGCAAAAGGAAACGAGATAGACACATGGTTCCTTTTGAGAATATGCATAGAATCACTTTCTGAGTCGACGACCGTCCGTCTGTCCGTCCATATATTTTTGTGAACAAAGTACAGGTCGCATCTATGGTCCGATTTGGATGAAATTTGGCATAGGTCACTTATTTGGCCCAAGGACAAAACCTATTGAAATTGGAAAAAATTGGTTCAGATTTAGATGTAGCTCCCATATATATTTTCGTCCGATTTTAGGTAAATAGTGCACCAAAGTCCCTATTTATCTTTCGATTTGCACGAAATTTGGCACAGCGTAATGAATTAGGTATAGAATGATGTGTGCTAAGTTTCCTGAGAATCGGTACAGATTTATTTATAGATCCCGTATATATTTGCGTCCGATTTTAGGTAAATAGTGCACCAAAGTCCCTATACATCTTTCAATTTGCACGAAATTTGGCACAGCGTAATGAATTAGGTCTAGAATGACGTGTGTTAAGTTTCCCGGAAATCGACTCAGGTTTCGATATAGCTCCTATATATATTTTCGTCCGATATAATGTAAATTCTTCACCAAAGTCCCTATATATTTTTCGATTTGTTCGAAATTTTGCACAGCGTACTGAATTAGGTCTAGAATGATGTGTGTTAAGTTTCCTGAAAATCGGTTCACATTTAGATATAGCTGCCATATATATTTTCGTCCGATTTAATGTACATGGTGCACCAAAGTCCCTTAATATCTTCGGTTTTCACGAAATTTGGGACAGCGTAATGAAATAGGTCTAGAATGATGTGTGTTAAGTTTCCTGAAATCGTTGAAATCGGTTCAGATTTAGATATAGCTTCTATAGAGAAGCGGGTTTCATTCCGACGCTGTTTGCTCAATAGATCTTATAATAGGAAATAAAACACAGTATCTTCTTAGTTTACATTTAATTGTCTTACAAAAAATCAAGCTCCACATTTTTTTCACATTTTTGCATATTCTATTCTATACATAATTGTTCTCATCATGAATTATTTAATTAATTCATTGCCATGTTCTGCTTATGTTCATCTTATGCGAGATCTTAAATTACATTTTCTTTTAAAGTTATTTTACAATAAAATACAAAAATTATTATTTTTTAACTAATAGAATTATTTGGCTTGTCCTAATTAAATTTGAACTATGCGACCGAAAATATAACCATGTTATTTGATTTCATTTTCTGTGCTATTGGCGGTTGGTGAGAAGTGTTGCCATGTTGAAATTTCATTGAAGAGACGATTGCCGGGACATTCCGTGTCTCGTACCTGGCGATGACCCATTAATTTAAAATCGGGATCTATAAAGCCCTTGGCAACACCAAAATCAATTAAATCCTTGGCAGCCTTTAACATCTGGGGTGGTGGTAGTTCACCTGAAAAATGAAATAAAACAAAATCGTAAATTTCGGAATTTCCCTTTTTAGAGAGAGAGGGAGAGAGATAGTGTGTGTCATTAACTTACTTCTCCAATCTCCAATGAGACAAATGCCCACACTTTTATCATTGTATTTGGGTGCATGGGCACCAATCACATTAAATCCACGGCCAATATAAATCATACCATCACCACCGATGGCAAAACTATAGCCAATGTCATTCCAACCATGGGTCAGCTGATGATAATCCTGCATAGAACGCATCGCTTTGCGACAATCTTCATTGGTGTAGCACGCTGCCGGTTGATACGAATGATGAATGATGACAAATGGTGCTGGACCCTTGAAATGTTCCACCAGTGTTGGGCTGCGTGCACCCCATTCGTCACGTGTTACCATTCCCGATTTCATTTGTTGGCTAAAACCTGCAAAGACGGAGAGTGATATAAATTATTTTTGTTGCTGTTATTTGTGTTATTTATGTCAAAACAAGTCATGATTTAATGTGACAGCATAAAAATACAGCGTCGGTACTTTACTTTGCGGATTTGCGGAATGATGGACATTATCTTTGGTGGTGAGGGATTTTTTTCGTATTTAAATTGAATAGATATGAAGGGATTTTTTTATATATGTATGCAATATTTGTATATTAGGGTGGGTAGGACAAATTATTTTTTCTGTTTTATTTTTAATTCGAAAATACTCTCATTCAAGAATGATCGTCGAAAATATCAAGTGAAAATCTCAAAAACTCTTGATGATATAGCCGATTTATTGTGTCAATATCAAACGAAGTGCTGCTCAAACTTTAAACCCGTTTTTCTCCGAACAATGTTTTTGTTTCATATTTTGCGAAGTCAATAATCCCAGATCATACCAGAGCCAGACATGTACTTATTCAAGCCGTTGCCCACCTTAATGCAACATTAGATTGCCTAGTTATTTTTTCCAAAGTGATTGACATAAAAATTGATGTATTCTGAGACAGCTTGCCATTATCTCCTAAGTATACACGCTAATGAAGAACCCGGAGAAGCAGAAGCAGTCAAGGTGGTAGAAGAAGTGAAAAAAGAAGTAAGAAGGTATCTGGATGAATTGTCCCAAGAATCCATTGACAAACAACTGCTAAACCTGAGAAGAGAAAAATCTTACCATCAACTGGTACGAAGAGCAAGCCGTATCTTACCAGTTGACGTATTCAAAGAACCCTGTCTCGATCAAGATCACTGTCAAGTGTCAAGAAGTCTTTTGTAAAACCCGGAAATCGTAACAAGAATGTCCAGATGGTACAAAGAGTAATATGACAACAGTCAAAAGGTAGCCAAGAACCACTACGAAGATGAATGATTAGTGATAATATTAGAGTTGAGTCGTTTTGATCCGAACACAGCTGGCTCGAGACAGAACATTTGTTCCATAAGCCGAACATAAAAATTTCCAGACACGGCGATCTGGTGCGCAGTTTTTCCAAATTAAAAGACCATGCTTTGATATGTCATCCTCCACTTGATCCTTCCATCGAATTCGTAGGCTCCGAGAGGTCCTTTCTGAATTTAATCGGAGACCTTGTGCCAGTTAAAGTTATCCTGTAGGAATGCCGAACGCAGACATGGCTTTAAATACCTCTAAGCGGATTGGGCTGTCGAATGCGGATTTATAGTCGACGAATATGTGCAATGTGTCGATGAATTTTTTGTGGGTCGTTTCCAGGATTTGGCGCAGAGTAAATATCTGGTATATGATGAATTTGTCAGGTCTGAAGCCGCATTGGTTAGGTCCAATAATGTCATTGACATTGGCTTCAGTCGCGCACACAGTACGCTGGATAGCACTTTATATGCGATGGGATGGAGGCTAATTCCTCTATAGTTGGCACATATCGTCTTGTCTTCTTTTTTGTGTTCGGCACACAGGATGCTGAGGTTCCAGCCATTGGACATGAATTCCTTTAGCCAAATTGTACTAATCGGCTGGTGCATGCTCCTGACCACCGGTCATGAATAGTTCGGCATCGGCACCTGTTGCTTTATTATTCTTCAGCCAATTGATTGGGCATGCATTCCTCTAGCCAGATTGTACTTATCAGCTGGTGTATGCTCCTGACTGCATCTGAAGATCGGTTTTGAAGACTCCAGCATCAGCATATCCAGCTTAATGATTCTTCAGCCGATTGATTGCTTTTCTGACCTCATCTCCAATTGGATCTGAGATATCTTCTTCACCGCCACTATTTGATACCAGAAGCTTTGCAAAATGCTCTTTCCATATCCTCAATACGCTAACTGTATCTGACACAAGGTTTCCATCTTCATCTCGATTTCCCTCCGCTCACATTTTTCTTGTTCTTTCTTCTTTGTGGTCCGAACTAGTTCTATGGAACTATTCCGCAAAAGGAACAATCGGTACTATGCCCGGTTCCTTTGTGCATCTAGTTCCGATTGCTCCAATGGTTCATTTGGTACAATGACCAAAGGATTCATCGACAGAGGGCGCCAAAAGCTTGCTTATAAATCAAGAAGCAGTTATAGACTCTTACGTAAAGCCCGGGGATCCTAAGAGGAATGGCCAGATTGTACGAAAGAGGAAGATTGACGACATCAGTAGAGTTTGGAACATTTTGGAACGAACTAGTTCAAACGAACTATTCTGCAAAAGGAACGACCGGTACTAGCTTAGGGTCTGTTTACATCTCGTTGCAGTTAATTGAACGAACGGAAATATGGAACGAAATGAAGTGTAGTGAACCGAAATGGATCGAAACACTTCAAGTGCAAGCTGAATGAAGAGATCCACAATGATGTCAAAGACGCAGTTAATAATAAAAATGTTGATCTCGCAAAATGGTCTCCCGAACAGGAAACTGTTTGTGAAGAAATGGGAAGTCTTCTAAAGATTAATAATTATGATGGAACTATCCTTGTGATAGAATTAGACCAGTCTTCGATTGTCTGGTAAGTCATTCTGTGTAAACAACGTGTTCTTTTTCAATCGGGACTATCTAGAGGTTCAAGATCGAAGTCTTTAACAAGATGGTAGCAAACATTGTTTTCTCATGGGACCACCTTAAAGTCTACAGTTAAGAAATGTTGTTAATAAAAGGAGTTCCCTTTGTTCCCACGAAAATTAGCGAGAGATAAACTTTCAGCAATAAAAAAATTTACCCAGGGTCGGGACAAGGTTCTGTATTTGATTTTTACCAAACGAAAAACAACTGACCTAATTTCTATCAAAATCTGTGATAAACTGTTTTAGATTTTGTGCAGGAAAACTACTCTATCTTTGGTTATCAGTATCAACTTTCAAATGTATTCATTCATTTTACTATTGGGATTTCCATCGATTACTCACAAAACACCATGCTTAGCAGTGTAACAGTGTGTGTTTAAATTTATTTATCACTTAATGTTGAGTTCACATTTCTATTCCATTTATAGCCCTAGAAATGTTTGGCAAACAAAAACATGTAACTTCACCTAAATAAAATGAGATTTATTTCCTAAGCGCCAAGTTAATAAATCAATGGCTAAATTTAAATACTTCGTTAATCACCGCAATTATTTATCCATAAATAGTCAACACTTTCATAGTTGACATGACAAATGTTGTGTTCAAATTTATTGAAAAATATTTATCACTTAATGATGATCCCACACTTATTTTCTATTTATAGCCCTATAAATGTTTGGCTAACTAAAAATCAATTTAATATGTCAGAGGCTAAAAATAAACGGTGCGTTTGTGACCGACCGGTTAATATCCAACGATTATTTATCCATAAATAGTCAGAAGTTCCAATGTAAACATGTCAAACAAAAAAAAAAAAAAAAAAAAACTAGTTTAACATCTGTGTCAGATTTCAAATGTTATGACTCATATAGGCAATTCCGTCTCCTATATGGGAATTTCATAGATAAGTCAGTCAAAATGAACTATTTATCAGAACTCCTACACACCTTCCCCTATAAGGTCTCTTAATATCGCAAAACATAGTTTCGCACATTTTATTACCGTCTGCCTGACAACATCTTCAGTTGCAAAATGTATTAACTCATATTACTGTTGGGAATTCCATCAATTAGCAGATATTCTCCCACATATCTGCCCATTTCTAGATCAATAAATGTTCCGATACATTTTTATTTTTATTTCGTTCAATATTTTAAAAAATAAGCATTTCCATAAAAACTTTATATGACAAATATTCGTTTATAAAAGCTATTGGCCAAACTACTAACTCACTGGGAATTTCCACACACACACACCTTCCCTTGTAAGGCCTATAATTTTTTTTGGCATATTGCCAATGAATGTAGTTTGATTTTTGTTATCAAAAATTTCAAAAATGTTAATTTAAGTGACAAATTAGTCACATCAAAGTCTAAAAATAAATATCACGTTAATCATCGTCCGATGACTGTTTATACATAAAATGTTATGCGCAATGTTATAAATGGGGCAATAGTATGCAAATCGACTTCAAACAAATATCAATAGGTCATCCGTTGGGCTATGTCTGTACTTCTAGAAAACGCAACTACGTAATTCTATGCTCAATTTTGTAAGCTGTTGCATTTAATTCGGATGGCCAGTACTGATAGATTGTAGTAAACCAAATGCAAATTTTAGGAATTTTTCAATGGAGATTTTTCCTAAAATCGCAATTACCCAAAATGTGGACCGATTCTGATGACGCCTGGTAGGATGGAACATGTGCACAGAATCCCTAAAATACTGCAATTTAGAGGGTAAAGTGATATGAGGTAATCACCAACGTATCCAGGATTATATTTCGGGGTTCAACATGAAAATGGTCACTGAGGGTAACAAGTTTGTAAGCGTACTTCCCTGGAGGTTATACCTAATACGACCATTTGGAGTTATCATTATATGAGGTGCTATGCATAATTGCGGATCGATATAGCTCAATTTTGAATCCAAGATTTTCGTGTTGTATCTCAATAATTTCCTTATCACTACATTTTAAATCGGTAGGTGTTTTATATATAGGGTATGGGATATAAATGCCGGCCGATATAGTTTATTCTCGTTCCTGACGTTCTAGTTTTTTTTTTATCTCGAAGATAGAATGATTAGAACAGATTGATAAATAGACCAAATCGTCTTTAAATGCCATACTTTGTAAGGTATAAACTGACAATTTCGACTACAGAATGCCCTCCATACTATGGTCGAATGCGGCTATACAGAGGCAAACCAAAAACGCGGAACAATTCAGTTAACTATTTTAATATAAACAAGTGAAAAAGCATTAAGTTTGGCCGGGCCGAACTTTGGATACCCTCCACCGTAGATATACCTATGCCGACATTTCTACAAACCGATTTATGTAAACCATTATGTACACCAAATACAAATTTCAGCAATTTTTAATGAATAATTATACCCTCAGCATTATGGCTAA